TGAGGGGTCCTGGTATGGTACTAACATTGCCCCTACAGCACATTGACTGGGCTGTCTAGCTGCTAGGCTATCAGCATAGGCTTGTGCCTTAGTCCAAATGTGAAGTTTTTCTTCAGAAGTACAGCAAGTAGATAGAATAGTATGGATATCACCTATAATTAGTGCAAATCAAAATGAGAGAGCCTGAAAGTATTCTTCCATGAACTTAGTGGAGTCTTCTGAAAAATGGCCTAGCCTCTGTTTATACTGAGCTAAATCTGACATGGAGAATGGCACATGAACACAAATAAGAATTCCGGCATTTCCATTGGCCACTTCTCTGAGTGACTGCAAGTCATCCTTGCTAGGCTTTGTTTCTCAGGGAGCAGAGGGTAAATGGGTTGCTGGGGGGGTGAACTAGTTGAAGAATAAAACCCTGACGAATCTGGGCTTGGAAATAGGTCAAGGCATTTCCTGCTGTTCTGGAGCCCTTGGCAGAGGGCTAGGACCAGATGGTTGGGGGTGCTGAGGTATGACACTTAGAAGAGGATCATCTAAGATGTCCTGTTCTCTGTGTGGTTTCTCTACAGGGATGTGTGCATAGCAAAAGTGACAGTTTCCCTGAGATCAGGGTTCTCATGTAAAAGACATAAATGCCTGAACATAAGGGATTTCTGTCTATTTTTACTGGCGTTTTCAGAGAAGATCTAACTACAAGATGTTATTATTATTGAGAGTCACATTCTCCAGCCAAACCTCCCTGATTCTAGACTGTATTGAGACCAGACAATGTTAAAGAATTAAATAAATATATTTTTTCGTAAGGTGTTCTAATCTAAAGCTGTCCCAGTTCTTAAGAATATAACCCAAAGGGGAGTCAGAGGGGATTGCAGCTGTGTTTCCCATGATGATTGTTAGGATTCTGTCAACCTAAAGAAGGGCTTAAAGAAAGGTTGACCTAATGAAGAGAAAAAATAAGTATCCTTGGCCAGGAGTATCCAGGAAGACCTGGAGCTCAGCTTGGGAATCAAGTGTCTTCTCCAGGCATCCTTGGAGCCCTGTGATGTTTTCTGTCCAAGCCAGGGAGGCTGGTGTCCCTGTCTTTGGGCTTTGGATGTTCCTGGGGCCCTAGAAGTCTCTACCCAAGAGGTGCAATCCTTAACCTATACCTAGGACCAGGTTCTTAATTTCATCACAGGAAATAATTCAAGGACAAGTCACAGAGAGAAAAGGAAGGAGCTTTAACTTGAACAGAATGTATACACTCAAGAGAGGGGAGTGTAGGCAATCTCTAAGAGAGGGAGACATGTAGGGTAGGGAGTGCTGGTTTTTATCTAGGGTTTTTTGTGTCAGTTTCATGTCAAGTATGAGCCATAGGAAGTTTGTGTCAGTTTTATACTAGTTACAAATCACAGGAAGTTTGGGGTTTTTTTGCTTTTTTTTTGAGTTGGAGTCTCACTCTGTCGCCCAGACTGGAGTGCAGTGGCCGCTCCCAGCCACTGCAGCCTCAACCTGCTGGGCGCCGGCGATCCTGCCGCCTCAGCCTTCCAAGTAGCTGGAACTACAGGTGCGCGCTACCACGCCCAGCTTAATTGTTTTTTATTTTTTTATTGTAGAGATGAAGTCTTGCCAAGTTGCCCAGGCGGGTCTCGTACCCACGGGCTCAGGCAATCCACTCACCTCAGCCTCCCGAGGCGCGGGATTATAGGCTGAGCCACCGAGCCCAGCTCACAGGAAGTTTTTAACCTCTTAAACTTTGGTTCGGTGATTCTCCATTCCCCCCATGCCTAAGCTAGCTACCTGCCTCAACAGGGACAAATTGACCCCAACTAATACCACACATGACGGAAATACATCGGAGAACAGGTGGTCAGAAGAGATGACCCTTAACATACTTTGATCCTGAGCAAGCCTAGTCCTTTCACTTGCCGCTGATTTTCTCATGAGTGTTAATTTGGAGCATTCACAATGCTCAGTTTGTTTGTTTGCCATCTTTCAGAGATCATTTGACTAGGACTGCCTGTTCTATCTGATATTCAGAGTCTGAAAACTCTTGATGTATATATTTTGTTTAGTTTTTTAGTTTAAGGCGAAAGTGTAGACCGAATTCCTAGTGTTACATACACTTTTTTCAGATACAATGGGGTTAATTTTTATATCATTATTCAGAAATTTGTATTTGAAATGTTTCTTATAACATGTTGGTTGTATAGTCTACTAGCATACTTTGTTTTATTGTATTTTATTGTGCTTCACAGATATTGCATTTGTTTTTGAAGGTTTGTAGCAGCCCTGCCTTGAGCAAGTCTTTTGATGCCATTTTTCTAACAGCATGTGCTCACTTCATGCCTCTGTATCACATTTTGATAATTCTTGGAATATTTCAAACCTTTTCATTGTTACTATATTTGTTACCGTGATCTGTGATCATTGACCTTTGGTATTAGTATTATAGTTGTTTTGGGGTACCACAAACTGCCTGTATAGATGGTGAATTCAATCAGTAAATGTATGTGTTCTGAGTACTCTGCCATTTCCCTCTCTCTCTCTCTTTCCTTGGGCCTCTCTATTACCTTAGACACAACAGTATTGAAATTAGTACAGTTAATAGCCCTGTAAGCCCTCTAAGTAAGTATTCAAGTGAAAGAAAAAGCCATACATCTCTCACTTTAAATCAAAAGCTAGAAGTGATTTGCCTTATTAAGAAAAGCATGTTGAAAGTTGAGATAGGCCAAAAGCTAGGCCTCTAAGGCCAAACATTTACCTAAGTTATGAATACAAAGAAAAAAGTTCTTGAAGGGACTTAAAAATGCTACTTCTTAAAAATGCTACTTCAGTACTTAAAAATACTTAAAAATATTTAAAAATACTTAAAAAATACTTAAATACTTAAAAATGCTGCTTCAGTAAACACGCAAAAAGTGAAACTGCCTTATTACTGATAGGGAGAAAGTTTGAGTTGTCTGGATATAAGATCAAACCAATCACAACATTCCCTTAATGCCCAAGCCTACTTCAGAGCAAAGCCTTAACTTTCTTCAATTATTTGAGGGCTGAGAAAGGTAAGGGAGCTGTGGAAGAAAAGTGTGAAGACGGCAGAAATTGGTTCATTAGGTTTAAAGAAGGAAATTGTCTCTATAACATACAAGTGCAAGGTGAAGATCTAACTAAGATAATTGATGAATATGGCTTTCTTGAGATGGAATATCTTCCTGGTGAGTATGCTGTGAATGTTGGTGAAATGACAGCAAAGGATTTAGAATGTTATTTAAACTTAGTTGATAAGGAATGACAGGACTTGAACGCATTGACTACAGTTTTGAAAGAAGTCCTACAGTGGGTTAAATGCTATCAAAAGCATTACATGCTATAGAGAAATCTTTCTTGAAAGGAAGAGTCAATTGATGTGGCAAACTTCATTGTTGTCTTATTTTAAGAAATTGCCACAGCCACCCCAACCACCACCCTAAGCAGTCAGAAGCCATCAACACTGATGCAGGATTCTCCACCAGCAAAAAGGTTATGATTTGCTAAAGGCTCAGATAATCATTTGTATTTTTTAGCAATTAAGTTTTTTTAGATTTAAGGTATGTATTTTTTTAGACATAATACTATTGCACACTTAAATAAACTACAGTATAGTGTAAACACAAGACAGCAAACTGCTTTATTGCAATATTCACTTTATTGCAGTGACCTAGAACCAAACCAGCAATATTTCTAAGATATGCCTATATTGCCTTGGTGTGATTCTTCACCAGTGACATGTCTTATATTGTTTATACAATCTTAGAAGAATAAAACTGGTCAGTTTTCAAAATCAGTTATGTCTTTACTCTGGAGAACTTTGCCGTTTTATGATAGCAGTCTCTTTTGGGCATCTCATGAAAGGAAGCAGTTGAAGAATTTATATCAGTATTGAAAGAAAGGTTAACAGAAAACTGAAAATCAACGAGCAGTGGCTGCTGTGGCATCAAAAGGAAACTCAGGCCCTCAATGTGTTCTAGTGTGGGAATTTAATGAAATTTGGGGAGGGGAATAGGGAAAAGAGTAAAATCACAGTTCCTCTGAAAAAATTACCCGTAGACTTATTATAGAGCAAAGATGTTAAGAAAAATAGCCAGTGACCTGTCACCCAGATCTTGTTTTTGAAATACTGTTCCCCAGTAAAAGGGGCCAGGGCTTCATGGAGAAAAGGCTGGTTCCAAAGCTGGACAGGGAAGATACAGATGAGCGCCTTGCTCTGCTAGAAAGGAAGGAAGGACTTTTTTAAAAGGTGGGAAGGAGTCGCACTAAAAGGACACAGAAGTCAGCTTGATGGGTGCTCGTTGGCAAAATTTGGGGATTATGAAAATCACAATAGATCAGGACCAGTAATGGATGGTACGAATAAAATATAAACTTTATCTCCATTCTGATAAATAGAAAGGTAGATAAGTAAATAAAGAATTGAGAAAGGAGCGAAAGTTTTTCCTTACAGTAGAATCTCGCCTAATAAGTAGAGAAGGAATGTCGGAGTTTGTATTGTGCTAAGCAATGTGTAAGGCATTATAGACACACAGTAATTAAGAAGTTGCCCTTAGCCTTTTTGCTATTATGAAATTGGGAGGAGACAGGCAAAGGAATAGACAGTTTGTCCATTTATTTTATCACCACTAGAGTTTAATTCTGTGAAGGACAACCTATGTCTCATGTATGTAAGTAATGCCTTATGTTAATTAGTTGAGTGATACATTCCTCAGTACTGATTGTGGGTATAATGGGATATATTAAATATGGGATGACACTTTTACTCATTTTATAGAATTTTTTATTATAAAAGTATATGAACTAGTAAAAATTAAGGGTCGCGAATGAAATAAAGACACAAGGAAGAAAATATTAAAACTTACCTGTTAAATGGGCAACCATCGTTGACTTTTTGGTATATTTTTGCCTGATTTTCTTACATGCTTAGATCATGCTGAATATATACGTTTAAAATCTTTGTCTTCTTTTTAATGTGCCCTTTTTTTTTTAAGGTGTTTGACTTTACGATGCAAATTGTACTTTGACAACTTACTATCTCAGCGAGCCTATTGTGGAAAAATGAATTTTGACCACAAGAGTGAAACTCTTAGTATATCAGTAAGTATCTCAATTTTTTGCATCTTAATCATTGGGAAAATTAGCTACTTCTTTTCTTTCGGTGAAATATTGAAAGTTTTAACCTGCTGTTTTTGGAAGAAAGATCCTAGTTTTAAATTAAGGATAGTCTGTGTTAATGTGTTAATAATTAAATTGTTCACACTGAATATAACTACTAGTTTAGGGTTTTTTTGTTTTTTTTAAGATAAATACATTCTTTTCTTAGGATAATAATTAGGAATTTTATCTTCAGTAACAAGTGTTAACCTCGACTTTTCACCCCACTGGTTCCTTTTTAAAATTCACACAGCATTTTAAATTATGTGTGATATTATGGGAAGTTTCTAGTAGCACTATAGGAAGCAAAGAAAGTTCTACCCATGTAATTGAGTGTGTATTTATTTAATTCTGAAGTGTCTCTACATCTGTCCTCATAGGTAAACAAAGCTACCACATGCAACTTTGTGGAGTTTATATAGCTGTGGATTCTTTCAAAGTCACATGTATTAAAAAGGGATCGTATGGCATTTTTAAAAAGTGTACTCAGGAGATCAAGAGAAGCTACCAATGTAAATAAAATCTGTGGCAGAGTTTTCAAATAGTTACTTTCTACTCTTAGTTGCCATATATTTTATCCTTCCATATTAATACTTTGTATAAATATCAGGTATTTGGAACATTTTTGTTGTTTGAAATCTCTGCATTTTAACCATATTAGAAAGCTAACTTTTACCCTCCCTTGATTTAAATTTGTGCCTGTAAAATATTGATAGATCTTCACCCACCATTTATTTTTAAGAGTCCCAGTCATTAAAGATAACAGATTTGAAAGTATTGGGAGAAATTGTGCTTGTTGGTAGGGAGGTAGTATGTCATGGTTGTTTTTGTTCTCACTGCAAACTATGAGAAAGCCAGAGACATTACAAAGCTTCTATTTTTAAAGACATTGGAAAGCTGTAGAGCAAAAGTGACTAGAATAATTGAAATCCCACGGAGTTGGGGAGACTGTCCAATGTAAGGAGACAATTGCCATATGTTTTCTTTTCTGGATGCATTTGCCCACTTGGGTCTTACAGTGGTAGAGGAGGGCTGGCAAGACAGAGTAGAAACTTGGGCAGTTCTAGACACCTAAGTGCACTTAATTCCTAAGTTCTGGTGTCATGCACAATTAGCCCAAGGAATGAATGAAAGGAAAGCCTTATGAAAATTGCAACTCAACCCCAACCCAGCTTTTTCCATGATTGGCAGTCAGCCCTACCATACTGCTAACTTAACAGAAGGCAAAGGGGACCCTCTTAAGAGAAATATATCACCTGGAACCTCTGTCATTCCTTTATACAAAATATCAAGCATAAGGTAAAAAAAAAAAAAAAAAAAAGATAGAGTACTTGCCTTGTAAGATCAGGAATGCAGCAATCATGTCCATGTCCACCATTTCTATTCAGCATTGTTTTGGAAGTTCTAGTCAGTGCATTAAGTCAGGGGAAAAAAAAGGCATACATATTGGAAAGGAAGAAGTAAAATTTTCTTTATTCATAAGCAGTAACATGGTTATCTGTGGAGAAAATCTGATGGAATTTACAAAAAGAGCTACTAAAACTAGTAAATGCATCTAGCAAGATTGCAGGTACAATCAGTATACAAAAATGACTTATATTTCTGTATACTTAAATTATCATAAATTTAAAAATTTTTAAATGCTATTTATGTCAACATCAAAAATATAAAATACTTAGGGAAAAAGGTGACAAAAAGTATTTAAGACCTGTATAATGCAAACTATGAAAAGAAATTATGAGAAATTAAAGAAGACATAAATAAATGGGTCTATATATAGGATTAATGGATCAAATGACTCAGTATTATTAAGATTTTAGCAAAATTGATCTGTAGATTCAACACAATTTTCATCAAAATACCAACAGAATTTTTTTTGTAGAAATTGACAAGTTGATTCTAAAATTTATGTGGAAATGCAAAGGACCTAAAATAGCCAAAATAAATTTGAAAAGGAAGAACAAAATTGTAGGATTTGTCAAATTGTATATTTTTGATATGTGCAGTTTATTATATTTTATTTATATACCTCAGTGCTGTAAAACTCACCAGATAGGTGAAGAAGCGTAGAAATGTGACTGATTTTATTTTTTTGAAATAGGAAATAGAATTGGACTCACAGATGATATTTATAAGAGATAGCAGACTAGTATTTTAACCATATATTAATAGAGTTGTCCATAAACAAAATGGACAAAAAAGACAGAATTTCAACATAGAATTGGAATCTGCAGTTTCAACATAGTATTGGAATCTACAAGAATAATCATTGGCTGTTCTATAACTGAAAAGTGCAATATCTGAACTCATTGGAGGATTTAACAGCCAACTGTACACAACAGAAGACAAAATTAGCAGAACTCAAAGCAAGTTAAAAGGAAATAATCTAAAGTGAGCAGCAGACTGGGTGCGTTGGCTCATGCCTATAATTGTCTCTACAATAAATTAAAAAATCATTCAGGTATGATAGTATGCACCTGTAGTTCCAACTACATGGAAGGCTAAGACAGAGGATCACCTGAGCCCAGCAGCTAGAGGCTGCTGTGGCCATGAGCGTGCCACTGCACTTTAGCCTAGGCAACAGAGTGAGATTCTAACTTCAAAAAAAAATCACACCAAAAAAAAAAACAGAAGAGAAAACACTGAACAGACTTTAAGAAATATGAGGAGGAATAGTCAGCAGGTTTAACATAAGTATAATTGGAGTTCTTGTGGGATAGCAGAAAGGAATGAACAGAAAGATTTTTTGAATTGATAATAGTTGAGAATTTTCAAAACTGAAATTCATCAACCCAGATTCAGAAACCTCAGCAACTCCTGAGTGAGATATGTACAAAAGAAACCACACCCAAGCACAAGATAGTTAAATAGCTAAAACCCCAAAACAGAGATAATCTTAAAAGTACCAAGAGAAAAAAATATACATTGCTTGCCAAGGAACAATAATAAACCCAAAAAAGTCTGTTACCTGACAGACTTTAAAGTACAAAAGGATTAAAAAACAAAAAAACTGCTACTTAGAATTCTATAACTAGCACACCTGTCTTTCAAAAATGAAGATGAAACATCGTAGTCTTAAGATAAACAAAAGCTGAAGAAAAGTATTCTTCATGACACTTGGCCTACAACAAATACTAAAGAACATCCTCAGATGAAAGAAAAATATCTGCAGATGGAAACATGAAACTGTAGAAGGAACAGGGAGCATTGCAAAAGGTAAATATATGGGTATATATAAAACAACTTTGGCTATCTAAAACAATAATAATAGTGTTTTGAAGGGGTTAGAAGGTGTAAAATATATGACAGCGCAAAAGAGGAATTGGAGTACATGGAGTTAAACAGTTGTAAGATGCTTACAACTTTGAGAAAGTTATACTAATACTAATTTAAAATAATCAAATATATCAGAGGTACATATTACATCTCCAGAGTAACTACTGAGTTTTAAAAGATTGTATCATTAAAAAGCTTACAGATACCAAGTTAAAAGCATGAAAAAGAAAAATACTTAAGTGAAGGCAAAAAAGGAAAAACAAACATATAGAACTAATTGAAAATAAATAGGTGAGTGACTTAAACCTAGATACGAGGAGAGAGAACCCAAAGAAACCCAGCATTTATTTATTTAAAAATTGTGTATTTACTCTTACATGTTTAAATTTCAGTTACCTTCAAAATACTCTCTGATGTACTACACCTATCAAGATGCTTTTTCCACTGTTCAAAACAGTTTTTGAACTCATCAGTTTTGATGCCTTTTAGTGCTTCTGCCATTTTTTATTTCACCTCTTCCACATCAGCAAAACATTTTCCTTTGAGGGCTTTTTCATCCAAGGGAAAAAAAAAAAGTCACTTGGGGCGAGATTGTGTGAACAGGGAGGGTGGATGGAGCAGAAGGGTCATGCCGTTTTTCTGGTCAAAAACTGCTGAATACTCAATGCATTGTGGGCAAGTATATTGTCATGGTAGAAGGACCAGTTACTTGTTTGCCACAACTAAAGATGTTTCTTCTGCAAATTGTGATGCGGTCTTTTCAAAACTCCCAGAAGAAAACCTTGGTTGACTGCTTGTTCTGGAGGAACAAATTTTGAGTGGACTGCAAGGGGCTAACCCTCCAAAAGATAATCCTAGCTTTTTTTGGATCCCTCATACATCAGTAATTACATTAAGTGCAAAAATACTAAATAATTAAATTAAAAACAAAAATTTGTCAGACTGCATAGAAAAATATAAGAATCAATCTTAATGTGGTTTACAAGAGACACTTTAAATACTAATTTAAGGAAGGAGAAAGATCTAAGTAAAATATGAAAAAAAGATATACCATGCATGCAAATATAGCCAAAAGGAATTTGGAAAAGCTATTATAATAACAAACTAGGTAAACCTTATACAAGAAGTATTACTAGAGACCGAAAGGGAAATAAAATACATACAATTGAGATAACTAAAAGGCAAAGTAGACGAATTGACAGTTATATTCGGGAATGTTAAAAAACTTTTCTCAGTAATTCATGAACCAATCATATTAAAAATATATAAGGCTGTAGCAGATTTAAATCATACCACCAAATTGACCTTATTGGCAGAGCTATACAACATTGTACCAAACTGTGCAGATTACATACATTTTTTTTCTTATTTTTTAAATAGGACATTTTAAGGACTTTTTGTTTTGAAAGATGTGGAACATTTACCAAAATTTTCATGGCCGTAATACAAATCTCAACAAACTTCAAGATTGATATTATAAAGAATGCATTGTAAAGGTGAATGAAATTAGTAATAACGGAAAGCTAACCTAAAATTTCCCAAATGTTAGAAAATAAATTAAGCGACATTTTAAAATAATCCATAGATCATAAAAAAGTCATATGGGAATTAGAAGATAATTTTGAATCAGATAATAAAAGCAAAACATCACAACTTGGAGGATACAGCCATCAGATTTCTCAGAAGGGAATTTATAGTTCTGAATATGTATATTATTAAAAAAAGAAAGCTGAGCATTAATTATCTAAATTGCATCTCAGGAAATTAGAAAAAGAAAAGCCAACAGAAAATGAGGGGGGAACCAAAATTAATAAAAACATAATTATCTCATAGTATACTTGGAATTTGTTCCTCCAGATTAAGTGGTCAATCAAGATTTTTATCTGGAAGTTTTAGGAAGGTTCCATCATGATTGTTGAAGAATCATTCTCAATTATGGCAAACAGGTGACTAGTTTCTTCCACTATGACAGCACACCTGCCACACTGTGCTGAGTGTTCAGCAGTTTTTGACGAAAAATGTCATGACCTCCATGCCCCACCCTTCCTATTTATCTCATCTCACCCCAAGTGACTTTTTTTTGTTTCACCGGGTACAAAAAAGTCCTCAAAGAGAAATGTTTTGCTGATGTGGAAGAAGTTAAATAAAAAAATGGCAGAAGCACTTTTTAAAAGGTATCAAAATTGACTAGTTCAAAAACTGTTGTGAGCAGTGGAAAAAAATCTCGGTAGGTGTATTGTAATAAACGGAGAGTACTTTGAAGGTAACTGAAGTTTAAACTTGTAAGAATAAATACACAATTTTTTATAAATAAATTCCAGGCTTTTGGAGGCCTTCCCTCATGTATGGTTACCTGATTAACGCCAAAGACTCCACTGTAAGCCTAGGGGGAAAGAGTCATTTTCTCATGAGTGATGTTAGGTTCAAATTATTGGATATCCTTTTGATAAAATAATAGCACACAAACTTTGGTCCCTTTCCTCACATTATGTACAAAAAAGTAATTTAGAAATTGATCATAAATGTAAATGTAAAACAGTAAAGCTTCTAGAAGAAGACAATATCTTTATCTTTTTAATGAACATTTTTAAAAATGGGACACAAAAAACAGTAACCTGCTCAAAAGAAAAGATTGCTAATTTAGTCCCTTAAAATTAAGAATTTCTCTTCATCAAAAAGTGACATTAAAAGAATGGAAAGCTACAGCCTGGGAAAAGATATCTGCAATATATACCTGCAACAAAAAAACTTATCTAGAGTGTTTAAAGAATAATGCATATTAAAAGAGACTGGCAACACATTTTAAAATGGCCAAAAGGCTTAAACAGGAACCTCATAAATTAAGGTATCCAAATGATGAAGAAGCACATGAAAAAGTGCTCAGAATTGTTAGTCATCAGAGAAAAATTGAAACCACAGTAAGTTACTTATATATCCTTACTAGGATTAATAAAATGAACAAGACTGGCAGTATCGTGTGTTGGTGAGGATGTGTAATTAGAACTTTCATGTATTTCTGGTGGGAGTATAATTTGGTAGAACTAATTTGGAAACCTGTGTACCAATGTCTGTTAAAGTAGTTCTACTCTTGGGCATAATCTCAAGAAAAATGAAAGCCTGTTTTCTCAGATATGTTTGAAAAAGGACAAAGGAATTTTATTTATAATAGCCAAAACTAAGCAACACTATGTCCACCTACAGTCAAATGTATGGATTAGGGAATACTCATACAATGGGACCCCATTCAGTAATGAAAAGAACAAACTACTGCTATATTCAATGTAGATGAACTGATAGTGGTGAGAGAAAGAAGCCAATCACAAGAGTATACATATTGTACATACATGTGAAGTATATATACAAAGGAGTACATGTAATATATACATTGTACACATGAAGTTCAAAAACTGGTAAAATTGATCTGTGGGGATTAAAAGTGAGAATAGTGGCTACCTTTTGGGGGGTGGTAATGACACAGGGAATTTGCTGAGATGTTGGGAATGCAGTGTGTCTTGATCTCAGTAATAGTTACTCAGGTGAGTGTGTTAAAATTATTTAAGTTGTACATTTAAGCTTTGTGTTCTTTAACATATATAACTTACACTCTAATTTAAATGGGGGGAGGGGAATATTAGGAGCGCTTGAATAATTAATCCCAAGCGCTAACTTGTACAGACAACTCAAGATAAGACTGTTTGATATTATCATCTCTGTTATTTAAAAGACTACTGTTGCCTTAATAATCTTTATCTCCATTTTGCTAATAAAGAAAATGACACTAAAGTCCCATTATGGTTAGTAATAGAGGAGGAGTAAAAGATTTGCAAAATTTATCTAGGGCATTATGAGATTGATGCAAAATACGCAGTTTTGGAACAAAAGATTGCGTCTTGGTATTTCTTGCTTTTATATGGAGTTTTTTATCTGGTTGGTTGTTGTTTTGATTTGGCTTTTTATTGTTGTTAATGCTACTTTTTCATTTGGGGGTTCATAGGGGATTCCCACTTATAGATTATGTAAAATGTTAGTATATATTTGAATTCATAATTTTTATAACCCTTAGAATATTAAAAAATAAACCAATGCTTACTGAGAACAACATAATTTTTCCAATAATAGACTGGAAGATGTTGGAAGCTATTTGTTTGCTATTGATATAAAAACTGGTGTCATTTTTTTCACCTTGTATACATGTGTTTATCTGGCATTCTGTCAAAATGAAATAGAGTTCTTCCTAATGTTACTTTATATTATCAGGAAAGTGTGCAAAAGATTTATTAACTTCATTAATTGCTTTTTTTAGCAAAGAAGAAATTTTTAAGGCTATTTTGTATGTGTCTCAATCCATGTTTGCAGTTCATTCTGTCTGGCCAGTGTAAACCTCCAGGATGGTCCTATGTCCTTTTGACATTCAGTAATTAATTTTAATGCATCTTAACCACTAGGTGTCACTGTAATTCAAGTAACAAAAAATTCTCTTTTTCCTTTTGAATGTTTTCAACTCTGTTTCAAGAGGACTAGTTTAAATTATTTATTGTGATCAGTAATGTTTGATTAACACTGACACTTTGTATAATTAAGCTTTTGGAATTTTTGTATGTTAGATTCAGTTACATTGAGAAAAAGTTTTCAATTTGATTCTCTTGCAGTAAAACAAAAACACCATTATATACATCACTGTTTCACTGTAAAATATTTTTAATGGTATATATATCATTTCCACATCACTAAGTCATTTTATTATTATTTTTTTAACTATAAATCCTGTGGTTTTTTGTTTTATTTTGTTTTTTTAACCCATGTTGTAGAGAACTTAATCTGACTTTCTATACTGTTTTTTGTTCCTTGTCATCTCATCCAAGGTTCAGCCTGGAGAGGGAAATAGAGCTGCCTTCAATGACATGAGAGCCTTGTCTGGAGGTGAACGTTCCTTCTCCACAGTGTGCTTTATTCTTTCCCTGTGGTCCATTGCTGAATCTCCTTTCAGATGTCTGGATGAATTTGATGTCTACATGGTATTATTAAATTTTAAATTCTCTATTGTATTTTTTGTTTGTTTAAAACATGTATTTTGAGAAGATGCAAATCTTTCTTTGGTTTTCCCATAACACAAAAGATCCTGTCCTGACCCTTCAGTCTGTGATCAGTGGTGGGGAAGAACTATAGAATTTGAGTTCCCTCCCCTGCTTTCCTGCAGTACCTTCAGAGATGCCTCATGGACTGCTCCTCCTCTTTCCCAATGTGGCCATTTTTATTCCCCATCAGCTAGACTCTGTCTCCTTCAGCTTCTTAACTAGCTTATTTTCAACAACCATAAACATGTTCACGCTCTTTTGTTTTAATACAAAATTATAGCCAGTTCACCATCCTTGTTTTGACTCACCTAGCTACTGTTTGCTGCCCCTTCCTTCACAGCCACACTTCTCAAAGAGTAGTGTATAGACATAAGGGAGCAAGAACTTTTAACTCAGGTTAAAAAAACCAAGGATTTGAGACCTACCTCTGCAACCAGTTATTCAAATAACTTTAGGCAAAATATTTATCTTTTTGGGGTCTCAACTTCATCTATAAAACAAGGTTATTATTATCTCCTACCTCATAGGATTAGAGTAAGGGTCAAATGATGTCTTTCATGTAATATACTTACTGTGGTGCAGGCATGTAGTAAGTCTTCCTAAATTAATAATTAGTCATTCTCTTCTTGATACCTCATCCTTTTCTAAACCAACTGCAGTTTGGGTGTAGACTACACTTGTCTAGCAAAACTTGATTAGCAAAGGTCATAAATGACTTTAATCCTACTTTGTTTCTTTGACACCACATGTCTATCCTTCATCTTTTAAAATGTATCTTCTTACCAGCTGCTATCTTCCTTGATATGGTCTGTAGACTACATGGCTGCTTTCTTGCTTGCCAGTAAAACCTGAGAGGCAGGGATCTGGGAGGAATGAAGTTTGTTTCTGAATTCAGAATTCGAGAAAACAAACCAGTATAGATACCAAGACCAGCTCAGCTCCTCAAATTTTACAGTCTGTATTTATAAGCCTAAGCATTGAAGTTTGCTATTTGTTAACATCAAACAATATAACTTATAAAACATTCTGTAAGATTCCATTTACAGTTGTGTTTTGTCAGTAACACTCATTGTTTACATATTCTTCGTACCCGTTACTAGGAACCTGTAATTTTCATTTATCCTTAACTCAAAGGGGTTAGCAGAGCTTACTAGAAAATGAAATATTATTCATTGTGATATATCATTAGCCAATGGGTGCAACAAAACAAAACATGTACTGGTTATGGTTATGTGATTAATATAATTATATTTCTAACTTTAACTATTGATCACAGGGATGAATAGCAACCTATTCTGCTAACTGTGACTATAACCATGGAATCTATGATTCATTCTGCTCCAGGGAGAGTCAGCACAGTCTTAATGATTCTAAGGATTGCGGGTACATGCAGGGCAGTAACCCTAAGCAGTCCAACATTATTAGTAGTAGAGGGCTACTTTAAGAGGGTGTCTTCATCATTTCCCCACTCTCAGCTGAAGCCATGATATCTATCATGGACTTACTGATGATTTGCTGTTTCAACCTGAACATGCATATGACTTCTTCCCTCTGATGATTTTTGTAGGTTAGAGACTTGGTTACAAGCTTAAGAATTTTGGCCATACTTTCCATACGAAGTTTGAAGGGGGCATATATTAAGACTCTATTATCAACACAGTTAGGAGGAACTTTCCTATCCTTGATAGAATAGAATACCTTTAAGACCCAGCAGAATCCAAGAGAAAATGTTTGAGAACTAATCTGAAACCTTCCCAAGCACCTCCTTACTGTATGCATTTGAATCACCTGTAGCATCAATACTGGTTTTCATTTGGTCTGCCATTGTTGTTATGTTCCCTGATTCATCTGGGATCAAGTTGCAGCATTCAGTGTATATAATGGCGCAAAAGCCTCCTTGGGATTCAGTGAGAATATCTAAGACCATTCTGTTTTGCAGGACTGCTTTCTTCATTAATTAAACTTCTGTATTTAGCATCATTAAAATAACTCTGCTTTCACAATGCAAATTTTAAAGTCATTTCTAAATGACTGTTTTAGTATAACCAAAATGGCCTCTTTTCATCCTCTTCCCTGCTATTCTTGTGTTCTTCTCTTGTTCTTAATCTGCCAAGCTGCCTTGCCTTATTCTGTTGCCCTTAAATTTTGAGGTCTTCTTCTTTTGCTTGTTACACCGTTGTTGATTTTCCTGGATTCCATGCAAAGCTACTACTTGCATATGGATGGATACCATACCAACTCAATCATCACCTAACTTTAACACCCATGATTTATCTGCTATTCTTCCTTCTTTAAGGCTGCTGTCTTTACAGATCTTTCTTTAGTTTCTGCCCTTTTCTCCTTTCTCACTGAAACTCTTACTCTCATCTGCCCCTCCTCACTTCATGCCTATTGTAATAACCTCTTTTCCAGACTTTCAGACTTTCATCTGACTCTTTCAGTCTATCCTCCACCTTTTTGGCAGGTTTATTTTTCTAAAGTAGATCGGATTGTAGTCACTCACTTATTAAAAATTCTTCAGTGGTTAAGTGTTGTATATGGGGTAAATGTTTAATTCTGTAGCATAACTTTGAGACCCTTCACGATAAAGTATTTACTTACTTTTTCATCCATACTAAACTGTTTGTAATTTTCCAAACACAATTCCTCTACTTGGTGCCTTCTTTCATTGTATGTCACTCTAGTAATCTTTCAAATGTCATCTTTGTGAAACTTCCATGGCTGCCATAGCCTGTCAAACTGGACCAAGAACTTCTAAGAGCTTCCTTGGCACCATCTTACATTGACTCATTATATTATTTTTGTTATAAAATATATTATTATAATATTTTATATTTTTATTCTTTTGAATTACCTATTTTTATGTCTGAATCTTCCACCAGATTGTAACCTTTTTGAAGTATCAACTATGTCTTAATCATATTTGTATCTCCTAATACCTAGCCCATAATAATCATTCAGGAACTGCTTATGTATGAATTAGAATTTATACTTGTAAGTGCTGTATAATCCTTCAGTGTTAGGTTTTTTTCTGTGATACCATTGCTGAAGATGAATTAGAAATTTCTCTGAGAATTATCTTCAAAATTAATTCACAAATCGTAGAATGTGATGATTCTGTCTATGCAATGTTTTTGAGCAAAATGCCTTTATGCAGTCTTATTGACCATTTTATATGTCAAATTTAATTCTAAACAGTTTCTTTTTCTTTCAGAAACTTAGAGCTTCTTAATCAGAATGGCATTTTGCCCCAGTGAAATTATTCAGAAGAATGTACCCAACTTCAGAAAGCTAATCCAAGGGGAAAAAATATTTTTTGTTGCATTAGAAGCTTTGTTATTACGTGATAGGCCTCTCAGGGCAGATATGCTTGATAGAATTTTTATAATCACAGCCACTTAGCAATATAGCCAGAATTTGGGTCCCCTTTTGACTTCAAGGCCCTTGTTTTAAACCACCATGCTATATTGCCATGTAGAATTTCGAATAAGACCTTTAAAATATGTGTTTATTTGTCTATTATTTTAACATTCAGGAATTTCAAGGGGGGATGAGGAATACTTTGATTTTCTTCTTTTACTGTTATTTAATTTAGAGACAATAAGCACAGGTATAATTCATTTAATTTCAAAACCTATTCTAACTAAGCTTTATTCCTATTGCTTTGCCCTAATTTGCTACTTAACTTACTTTAAAGATTCAGTAGAGAAATTGGTCTATAAATTCAAATTGTTTCACATCAAACAAATTGTAGAGGTAATGGGGAAGGGCAGACTTTTTAAAACACTTTAATTAGTGAGGGAAAATTAGAGAGACTTAATAAATTTGAGACTAGACACTTTGTTACCCTTACCTGAGTGATTAACCATTACTGTACAAGTTAGCTTTATTCTATAAACAGTTGTATCTTTTGAATATTTTCTAGTGATTTGAATTGCTACATATACTTGAAAGAGGAGGCTGTATGTACAAATACTTTGAGTATAGAAATTACCTGGCAAATGTAGTCATTCATATATTTTCTCTTAATAGTTTCTGATATTATCTTTTCGTGTATAAATTTCTTGTCATCATAGTTGTGGATAATGACTGATCTGTAGATGAAAATTCAGTTTGTATCAGCTCGCAGAATGCTGCTGTTACAAGAATGTGATTGTTAGAACAGCAGTCTTGACTTTTACCTTTGTTCTTCAGGATATGGTTAATAGGAGAATTGCCATGGACATGATACTTAAGATGGCAGATTCCCAGCGGTTTAGACAGTTCATCTTGCTTACACCTCAAAGCATGAGGTAACTTTTTAAAATTTTCTGAATATGTGTCAAGTATATAAAAGGGAGAAAAAGACTTTATAATTTTATTTTGAAAAATACAAATACATAAAGGACCAATTAAAAGAAAATAATGGCTCCTAAATAGTTGGGAAGATTTAGGATAATGTTTCCTTTTCTAGATATTTGAATGTTTACTAGTGTTAATTTCCTTTCATAACTGAAGCAAATAGATTGGAATATGATTATTGACCTGTTACTATTTGTATTTTGAATCTGCTCCTTTATAGTTCTGACCAACTCATATAAAGTAATTTTAGCAAGTCTGTTTAAACTAAAGAAACGATTTCCCTTTTCATGACTCTTTTTTTGGTGACTTGAAAATATGAATCTTTATAAACAGTGCTGGCAATCGATATTCATTGCATAACTACAGAGTGTCAGGCACTGTGTCACTTATAGTTGATATTCTGTGTCTGATGTAGTCATGTGATCATATGGGGATTTAAATTTGTGAGTGATAATACTTAGATAACTCCTTCCTTGATAGACAGCAACAAGAGTTAAAAATAGTTGATATGTAGGCCGAGCGTGGTGGCCCAAGCCTATAATCCCAGCACTTTGGGAGGCTGAGGTGAGAGGATTGCCTGAGCCCACAGGTTCGAAACAGCCTGGGCAACTTGGTGAGACCTCATCTCTACAATTTAAAAAAAAAGCTGGGCATGGTATCACATGCCTATAGTTCCAACTACTTGGAAGACTAAGGCAGAAGGATAGACAGATCACCTGAGCCCAGCAGGTCGACAATGGGATGGCCCTGAGTGTGCCACTGTACTCCATCCAGCCTGGGTGACGGAGTGAGGCTCCAACTCAAAAAAAAAAAAAAAAAAGTTGATATGGAAATCTTCATTTTCTTTTCCTCTAAAGTGAAAACCCATGGGATCTAGCAGGAAATTAATTTTTTAAAATTAAATTATTTCCTTATTGCCAATATTTCTCGTAGAACTCTAAATATTAGACATATCCCAGATAACAGCTATTTAAGTATTTGCATGAGGTAGGGTTTTTTTTCCCATGGGTAAAAATTTTCTTGGAAATTTGACTTACCTAATTTTACTTCCTCCAGCTCACTTCCTTCAAGTAAATTGATAAGAATTCTTCGAATGTCTGATCCTGAAAGAGGACAAACTACCCTGCCTTTCAGACCTGTGTCTCAAGAGGAAGAAGATGACAGAAGTTGATTTGTATCTTAATATGCCTTGTCCTCATGTTGAAAGATTTGTGAAGGAAGAAAATTTCTGGACACTTTCACATAATGAGACTGGATATATTCTAAAATTAAAGACACTTCTTTATATATCTGACCACCATCAAATGTATAAATAAGCCTAGAACATACAAACTACAACCAGCAATTTAAATTACTGTTACTTTTCTTTAAGAAACTCAATTTCATAGTACTGGTTTTGAATCTTTTTAAGTTTTTTTTTTTACTGTCTACTTTTATAGATTCTTTTTCAGAAGCAAAATTTTGTACATATGTACATGTCTGTTTAGTTTGAATTCATTTCTATAGTATTTTGTAAGAAAAATAAAAGTTTGAGTACCAGATTTTATTTAGTTTTGCTTTTCCAGAATATTACATTCTATAGGTAAATTATCAAAAATAGAAGAAGTGAGGGATTTCTCATTGCAAAGGTTGGGGTGCAAATGCAGTTTATGGACAAGGACATGTTTACTATAGATTTGTTGCTTATTAATTATGAGAGACCTACACAGTGCCGTGAATACTTTGAACAAGATTCCTGCTTACGGGCAATTTTTAACTGCAAAGATACGACTATAGATTGGTCTGTAACTTTTAATTAATTATTGTATTTTATCAAGTTTAAGATGCTGTCTATTTGTAAGACACTTTTACAAAGCACTGAATCACTGCTACCTCTGACACATGGTTTTTTTCTCAATCCTTTCACTGTCCTCCACCCAGATAAGAGCCTGTAACTGGTATCAGAACAGGATAATGACTGTTTTTCACGCTGACCTGCAGCCTGCTTATCTAGTTTAAAAGCTCTCAGTTTGCAGTCATGGGGCTTTCAGGTTTTGGACTCAGCTGAGAAAGGACACAGACCAGAGGGACTGTGCAGCCCAGGTTGTGAGAAGAACTGGGAGAATTAAGGATGGAGGGTCAGTTCTCATGGAGCAGGAGAGTCACTTGTAGCTGCAGGAGCCTGAGGCCAAGCTGTTGATGGAGAGCTGTCATCAATTATGAGACACATACTGGTTATAGAGATGTTAAAAAGTGTCCTTCTTAGAACGACCAATATAGTATATTGCAAAAAATGGTATTAACTTTAAAAAAAAAAAATAGGGCTTCTGCCTGTATTCACTGTGTTTGATACTAGGATTTGTGCTAAACTTTTAAAAAGCATATTGAATATCAACAAGAAGCATTCCTTATATTATATTACTAGCAATAAATATTAGAATAAATATTTATGACATTGAAAAGGAAGTGTTTTAAGAAAAAAAGCGATATCTTAAGAGCAGGGACACTTCTACTATTGAGAAAACTGGATTTTGTTTTTTTTTTTTTAGTGGGGATAGGAATCTATTATAATTTTGTCTTAAAATGAGATCAGTTGCCAAGTGAAGTTCAAAAACTTGTACTTTCTAATCTAAGAATTTATAGGAAGAAAATGTGTGTTGAATGTTTTAAACATTTCTCATTGACCATACCAAGTCTGATTCTAAAATTTACATTTGTCTTCAAAAAAAATTTACATTTGTAACTCAATTGTTTTAAAACTATTTTAACATACACATGCTTTTCTAAGTTAAAAATGAAGAAGAAAGCCGGGCTCGGTGGCTCAGCCTGTAATCCCGCACCTTTGGGAAGCTGAGGTGAGTGGATTGCCTGAGCCCGCAGGTTCGAGACCTGCCTGGGCAGCGAGACCTCATCTCTACAATAAATCAAAAAGTCAGCCGGGCATGGTAGCGCATGGCTGTAATTCCGGCTACTCGGAAGGCTGAGGCAGAAGGATCGCCGGAGCCCAGTAGGCGAGACTGCGATGGCCAGGAGCGGCCACTGCACTCCAGTCTGAGCGACAGAGTGACACTCCAACTCAAAAAAAAAAAAAAAAAATGAAAAAGAGTATATCAAATGCATAAACTTTTATTAGCTACGAAAGGAACTTCAGTGTCTGAATTTTGGGGATAGTTTTAAGTGTTTTGCTTCTTAATACAGAATGGTAAATATAATCCTCAGATATCCGAGCATCTCCTGTTGAAGATTATTCATTGCTTTGACCTTGCAGAGTTTTGGTTTTCACAATCAAAAGTGGAAATATCTTCATTTAATATTCTAAGTGGTAGTAATATTATTAGAATAAAAAGAGTTTTTAAAAAATATGTGTAACTTCTAAAAAATAAAACTTAAAATGGATATGTATTAAGAGCATGCTTTTGTGAATTGGGGAAGGTAATATTGACTAAATTGATCTTCTTGATGAACAATATTTAAATGCATCATACAGGTAACTCTTCGGCCCCTGCTTTATCATCAGTGCAGCTATGATTGAAAGAAGTCCTAGGAGTCAAGGAAGAACGACTTGCTTGGATCTTATATCTACCTTCTCAGATATTTGGTTTGTAAATAATTAAAATCATTCTTAAAATGACAAATGTGATGAGATTTTAGTAAACCAAAGTATTAGTAATACAGTTACTCAAATTGATAACCAACACTAACGATTCAGGCATTGCCTTTTTGAATATTTTCCAAGTTTTCATTTTTCATTTTCCCCTTCCATTTCCTAGAGGTTTTTTTTTTTTTTCCTTCTTATGTTAGTGTCTAGTGTTTTTATATGGAGGCCAAAATAATTAAATTCTGTGTAAAAAAAAAAAAATTATGTGGGACTCATGAATTAGATCAGAAGTGTTCCAACTGTGATGAAAACAAGTGATCCTGAATGTTTGATTACAAGTTCTCCTGAGTACAAATTAGATGCAAGAAGAAAGACAAAATGTTTAAAGTGTCCTGAGGCAATAATTTTCTGATTACATTTATGACTTGGTTATACGTCTATACTACATATGTTTCTACTTTGACCAATTCAGATTTTCTGGAGAATTGATTTGAAATTTACAGCCCTGAGAGCTTAAAGTTACTGATATTTCATGACTTGTACTAAATGCTCATGAACTTGAAGATATATCATCAAAATATTTCACAGGAATAGTTTTTCTTCTTTAAGGATTGGTAAAGTAATAATGTGGATATAAATAAGCTGTTTCTGAAGTTTTCTAAACTATATATAAAATATTGATGCCTAGCATATTTAATTTGGATGATGGCATCTGGATAGAATCCATAGAAATAGAAGTGGCCTAAGTATACTCACTAATCATAGCAAACTTAAGAGGCTTTTGCTGCCTAATTTTTCTTCAGTTTAAGAATGCAGAGATTAATTCATTAAAAAATGATAATATACCTGCCATGTGCTAGGTACTATTTTAAGCACTAAGGAATATTACAATAAGGAATATCAGTCTGCCCTCATGGAGTTTAAGATCTAGTTGACATAAGCAATACCATATATAACTTCAGCTAATAGTAATTCCTATGAACCAAAGTGCGATAAAGATTTGAGGAGGGTGGAGGGGAGTAGCATTCTATCTTGAGGGAAGACTGCAGAAGACAATATTTGAGCGGTGATAGAACAAGCTAAGGGAAGAACTCCAGGCAGAGGAAATTAGTGCAAGGGTCCTGAAGGGGAAATGGACTTCATGTCCAGGAATCCTAAGGTCATTGTCGATAGAGCATAGTGAGCAAAGAGGATTGGTGGGGTTAGGTTCAGCAAGACAGGATCATTTGAGGCTCTAAAGCCATGGTAAGCAGGTTTTCAGACCTGGTCTGGTAAGCATTTAAAAAGAAATCCTCTGCTGTGTGGCTAGATTAGGGTGAAGCAAACATGAAAAGAGGGCAAGTGATTTGGCGACAAAGTGATCTAGACAAGATGTTATGGTGACTAATACTAAGGTGGGGGAGACAGAAGCTTGCAAATTTGAAAGGCAGTGAAACTTGCTGATGAGATTACTAGAGTGGTGAGAAAGAAATCAAGGATATAATATCCTTGGGACCTAGGGCTTATACAACTGTATGAACAATTGTGCCGTTCATTGAGATAGGGATGATGCAGAAGTTCAGGGTGTAATGGATGACTGTGTAGGAAGATGAAAAACTCTGGTTTGAGCATACGGTATGTGAGATAACTTTAGACATGAATAGTTAATCAGGTACATAATGGGTAACTTTACATTGGTAAGTATAAAAACTTGGAAAGCAGTATCACTTAGGAGTCTGAATCTGTATTTCTGAGCACTTTTCAGTGACCCAAACTATTTGGGAAACTTAATAGTTTACCAAAAAGGAGCTGAAGGGGCTGGGCATGGTGGCTCTACCCTATAATCCCTGTACTTTGGGAGGCCGAGGTGAGAGGATTGCCTGAGCTTGGATTCAACACCAGCATGGGCAACTTGGTGTGAGACCTTGTCTCTACAATAAATCAAAAAATTAGCTGGGCATGGTAGCTTGCGCCTGTGGTCCCAGCTACTTGGAAGGATGAGGTAGAAGGATCGCCTGAGCCCAGCGGGTCAAGGCTGCAGTGGCCATGAGCGTGTCACTGCACTGCAGACTGGGTAACAGAGACTCCAACTCAAAAAAAAAAAAAAGCTAAGGGAACTGTGTGTCATTTTACTTAATAGCTCTAATTGGCTATCAATTTCTTGCTAGACCTCTGCACTCTCTTTGCTGTAAGACTCTCTGAAGGCATGTGTTTAAGCCTATGCTTTACTTCTTGATGTGATTTTCAACTGTATAGAAGAAAAGCATCTGGCCTTTAAAAAAAAAAGTAGTATATAGTCATCCAGAGAATATGACCCTGAATGAATTACAGGAAAATAAACCATTAAAGCAATGTGATTCCCTTTTTAAAATAGTATTGTGCACGAAATGGGATTAAATATGAAAATGTAGGGCTTCTAAACGCAAAAAGAGTTGAAAATAAGATACTTGGGGGCATTTTTCCTTCAGAATAGCAGCAAGGGCTAAACAGCTAATTAATATGGTAATTAAAATAGCCAAGTGCAATCTGGAGAACCCAGACTCATTTGAATAATTAGAGGAAGCCTAAAGTTGGTCCTTCCATAGGAACCACTGTGACTGGTTGGGATATGGAGGTCATGGATGACCCAGGTTGCTGAGATAATGCATGTTTAAGTGGAGCTAAAATGCAGAGGGTTGACTTAACCCTCAGTTCATGGCTCACCTTCAGCATGATCCAGGCAATACTTACTTATTTTTATGTCCATTATATTTAACATTATATTTTCCATAGATGGCCACAACAATAGAACCATTCCATGGTCTTCCAGAACTTTGTCTTGTAGCATCTAAGGCTCTTCTTAATCTGGGTAGATTTGTTACTCATTTATAACCGAGAGAATGCAGTAGAAGTGACATTCTGTGACTTCCAAGGCTAGGTCAGAAAAGGAAATGAAAAAGTCCTGCCTTGATCTTTGGAATACTCGTGCTGGAGCCCTGTGCTGCTGT